ATATATATATATATATATATATATGTAGATATCAGGCCGGCGACCTCACAAGGGACAGGTGAGCGAAAATCGGGAATTGATTCGGTGTTCAGTGTTGAAACTAGGTATTGATTTGGGGTTCGCCATGCGCAACGACGACTGCAAGTTGCGAAGGGGATCGAGCAGCTTTATACGAACGTTATCGTGGCTATGACGAAAGGTAATCGAGGTGCGGAACGCGGATCGGCTATGGCGGACGGAGGTGGAGGGTGGAGAAAAGAGATCAGAGCACGTCCACTGGCGAAACAACAAAACCAGGAATTGATTCGAGGTTCAACAGAATGCGGCTGCGACATTATATCCTGCAGGTACAGACAGGGCATCAGGGAATGTGTTCGGACGTTAGACACAGAATAGGACAACTCAAGTTATATGATTTTACCTTCGTCGTGCGTTGAGCGAGCAACCAACCACCAAACCAGCTATGGTGGAGGGATATCGAGCTAGGAAGAGCGAAGACCGACGAGCGAAGAGCGAACTGAACACAATGTGGCAATAGCGGACGGAGCGAAGAGCGAAGAGTGAGCGGGCTATGGCAGAAGGTGGTGGGGGCTGAAGACCAAATACCAAAACGCGCGCGGAAGCGATAGCGCGACTTGATTTGTGGAGCGCCAACAAAAGGGATAACTCGAGGGCTGCAACACCTTTTATACTTTGTTGCAGCAGGCCTCGCGTCGGGATCAAGGTGGGGCCGAATCGATTCGCATATCGCACCCTTGGGCCCATAAAACGCCATCAAGGTGGGGCCGAGTCGATTCGCGTATCGCACCCGTGGGCCCATAAAACGCGAGGGCCTATAAACGGTAAGGGGTACCGGAGATTGTGAGCCGTCGATCAACAATTTTCAACCGCGCAGATGAACGGAGCCACTGTTATGCCAATGGCCCCAAAATCTCTGTCTACTTCGGCGTGCAATGATGTGCTAGTTCCCGAAAATAAAGGGCAGGCAATGTCATTTTTGCAGTTGTAATCTGGACCATCGATCGGCATGATCCGACGCACGAGGTCAGGCGCAAGAATCTATAAGGTGCTGCGATTCGTTGTGCGCCGAGGTGGTTCGTTGCGCGCCAAGGCCAGGGGACGGTTTATTTCCCGCCGAGGCGCGGCGATTCGTTGTGCGCCGAGGTCAAAAACACGGAAAATCTATAAGTTCCGGTGTCGCTGTCATTCGGACATTTTGCAAATGTCAATGGCGTTCGATATCAATGTGCTTAGCCATGCACCATCGTTATCGATACGCTTAGGTCATCGCCATCGCCAATGCTCGCCATGCACCATCCCCATCGATGCACTTAGCTCATCGCCATCGCGACGCAAAGCTATATCCCCCATCGCAGCCGTCACGCTCGCCTGACCATCGCAGCGCTGACAATCGCCATCGCTCTCATCGCAGCGCTGGCCATCGCTGTGCCATCGCTCTCCACCGGTGCGCAATCGTTATCGCTGTTCCATCACTGCCATCGCTATCGCTATCGCTGCATTGTAATGCGTTCCATTGCCTCGCCATCGCTCTCCACCGCAACGCTGGCCATCGCTATGGAAGCCCTGGCCAGTGTTATCCCACCGCAGCGCTGCGCGATTTCTCACTCCATCACTGTGCGATCTCTCTTGACAACCAGGCAACCTCCATCCTTGCCCCAGAGGCTCTCCATTACTCGTGAGTGATGCCGCCATCGCCATTGTATTGTTGTTTCAGGCCGTCGTCGGTGTAGCCGCCCATCATTGTGGAATCGCACGAAACAGGTGACAGGTATGCTTATCGAAGGCTTAACTCGATGGAACTGATGTTGTGCAATAACAAATCTTGGTCATCGTCGTGCCTTCTCTCTCCATTGCTGAGGCATCGCTAACCATTAATGCGCGTCCTCTCTCCATCTCTCTCCACCGATGCGCGATCTCTACCGACCTTTCGTCACCTATCCCCATCGCTGCGGTGTCTTTCCTAATCTATCTCCTTCGTCATCCATCTCCTTCGGTGCGCTATCTTTCCTAATATATCTCCTTCGTCATCTATCTTCATCGTTGCGCTATCTTTCCTAATCTATCTTCATCGTCATCTATCTGCTTCGGTGCGCCATCTTTCTCCATTGCTGTGCTATCGCTAACCATCGCTGCGCCTGCTATCTCCATTGCTTCGCCATGTTTCTCCATCGGTGCGCAATCTCTCTCTCTCGCTGTGGCACACCTCCCAATCAGATCGCGATCTTTTTCCCTTCCTGCCCCATCCACCTTCTTCCCCGGAATATACAACGCACTTTCATTATAGTTGTCTTTAGACTGAAAGATGACCCGAATTTAGCTGTAATGACCGGACGTTGTATTCAGGGGAAGACTGTGACTCCATCCGTCTCTCTTGGTGCGCCATCTCTCTCATTCGGTACGCCATCTCTCTCCATGTACTTTCATCGATGCGCCGTCTGCCCATCGCTTCGCAATCTTTCTCCATCTTAAAAAATAGCACGCCATCTTTTCCTATTTCTCTCTTGCGACGATATGTGGTTCGTACTACACGCAGAACAAGTCGAAAACAACTTGCACTTGTACCCGCAGTTTCGTAATGGAAATGCTCGTTTACAAGTGCGAATTTATTCGCTCTTGAACCAACCACCCCCTTAAGTTGTCACTTTTTAGTCCATAGGTCAGAATTAACTCGCACTTGTACTCATAGTTTCGTAATGAAAATGCGCATTTGCAAGTGCGAATTTATTCGCTCTTCAATCAACCATCCCCCTTAATTTCATACTCTATAGTCCAAAAGTCCCAGTTTCATAGTGGAAATGTTCGTCTGCAAGTGCGAATTTATTCGCTCTTCAACCAACTATCCCCCCAAATTTGTGACTCTTTAGTCCATAAGCCCCAGTTTCATAATGGAAATGCTCATTTGCAAGTGTGAATTTATTCGCTCTTCAACCATCCATCCCCTTAAATTTGTTCCTCTTTAGTCGATAATTCACGTCTCTTCTCGGCCCAAAAGAATAAAGTCCTTTTGTATTTGCGAGTTAACTCGCCACTGAACCAACCACGAAGGCAATTTCTTATTGCACGGCATAATCGAAATGTTCATCTGAAGTGCAAATTTTTTGGCACTTGAAATTTTTCGCTGCTTAGTGGATAATACCGAATCGACTCGCACTTGTGTTCGGTCTTGTTCCGACCATGAACTTAATTTCTTACTGTACGTTGAATAAGTCTGAATCAGCTCGCATTTGTACTCTCGCCTGAAAAAGTGCGAGTTCACTCGGACATATCCAAACCACTTGCACACTGAACAAGTGGCTGAGAAGTTGGACTTGAGATTCCACTTGAGCCTCACATCAGGGTCCGACAAAACGATATGGATTCAAATGTTGTTGTTCCACTGTTTTGTGATAAATATTTGAAATGTGAGTTTGCTCCCTCTTGTTTATTTCCCTGACCTCGTCATGCGTTGACGTGGTTTTCTTGTTGTAAAGTTTCCATGTGAATCATCTCTTCAAATGGTTGTATAATCCGTCCACTGTGTCACGCCACCGCCACCGTCACGACAACACGGAGAAGAGGATGTTCGAGAACGTAGTTCTTGTGACAACAGCCCGGACGCTCCCTCTGATCGGCATTGCGGTTTGAAAAGGGAGTTCTCGATATTGACCCCGATGAACCATTCAGGCTCGTCTTCGACGTCCGCCCGGCGTCATTTTGTTCGCTTTACCGACGTTCCCGACGGTCAGCGCGTATCGACAGCGCTAATCCCCGGTAGTGAGGGTGTTCAGGATGTCGAAACGTTTTTCGGTGGGTGGATGTTCATTGACACATATTTCAGTGGTG